GTGTGTGTGTGCGTGCGTGCGTGCGTGCGTGCGTGCGTGCGTGAATATCGTACTACCTCATAATAAATTTAGCTATTTTACCATTTTCCAATTTCGGTTTCTTAAATAAGCTCTAACATAATCTCTCCGCGAAAACGTTGAACCCGCGTGTAATGCGACTGGATCGGTAACTAACAATGGTCGATGCATGGGCGGTTCACCAAGAATCTATATAGCTCACCTTCTGACTGCCTGGATATAACCATCTGCGCTTCGGTCGTGAAGTAAAGAAGTAGAATTCCACTAACGTAGACCCTGTATGCCATCGCGCTCTGCATCCGTAACCTGCAAAGATAGCAGAAAATGTCAGCGATAACGTAACGAGGAGCCCGGGTTAAGTGCTAAGGGTAGGTATAGCGACAGACAGAAAGAATCCAATATAGGGCGAGGGAGACGGGGGAGGAAGAAAAATTGGAAGCTGGATGCAATACGGCGCGAGTCACAAAAAAGGAAGAGGTATTTTGCATTGCACAACTACCACTATTCGGGCAGCAATTTCCAGTTACACTGGCATCCGTGAAACAGGTAGCGCCAGTATAATAATTCGTTATAAAACAATTGCCGACAGCGATGGTAGTTTTACGGCTTTTCAGTGAAACTCGTAGAATTTACGAGTCGCTAGGGATTAGGTTGGCATAGCATACGCTAGCGCTCTGCTGGCTGCAATAATGACCTCACCGTACGCCATTGCGTTTAAGCTCCTGTAGTAAATATATGTGTAACGCTGCGGAAGAGCACGTACGTCGATAACGAATTACTGAGTACATACTGGCTTGTGGGTGTGCACGCGCGTGTGTGCACGCGTCGCGTGTGGGTACGCGCGTGTGTGCATGCATTCCTTGTGGGGTGCGCGCGTGCGTGTGAGTACGCGCGTGTGTGCATGCATTCATTGTGGGGTGCGCGCGTGCGTGTGTGCACGCGTGGCGTGTGGGTACCCGCGTGTGTGCATGCATTCCTTGTGGGTGTGCGCGTGCGTGTGAGTACGCGCGTGTGTGCATGCATTCATTGTGGAGTGCGCGCGTGCGTGTGGGTACGCGCGTGTGTGCATGCATTCATTGTGGGTGCACGCGTGCGTGCACGCGTGGCGTGTGGGTACCCGCGTGTGTGCATGCATTCCTCGTGGGTGCACGCGTGTGTGCACGCGTGGCGTGTGGGTACCCGCGTGTGTGTGCATGCATTCTTTGTGGGTGCACGCGTGGCGTGTGGGTACGCGTGTGTGCATGCATTCCTTGTGGGGTGCGCGTGTGCGGGAACGCTTGGCTTCTGGTATAGTGCGCTCGTTTGCACGGCCGGCTTGTGGGTGCGCGCGTGAGCGTGTGAAAGGAAGGAGGTCAGGAAAAGCAGGGCTGGACGAATGGAGGGGAAATGAACACAGAGAGAATGCGAGAGCGAGCGAGGTGGGGGACGGAATGAGGTAGGCAGGAACACCAGGACAGCGCGCGGGGCGAGAGAGACAGAGAGACGGAAAGTGTACAGTTTGCACACCGAGTTTAAAAGTCGAGCCACATTTCCGCCAACCACTGTATACAAAATACTCACTCGCATTTATCTTCCGAGTTTTTTTACAAAGTGTCTTTTGTTCCCATGTTGACAGTAACGACTCGACGTAAACGACCCAAACCTGCTTTGTAAAGTTTCAAAGCGCGGTAACGCGGCCGCACGTATCCTCATATACAGTAATGCACGCGTGTCCCGAATGCCAAACCCGTGCTCGCGAACCATAGCATACCCTGTAATAGCATAGCCTCCACTCCATGTAATGCAATAGTACCGCTGCTCCAAATAATTGCCTATATTTCTTATATAAGTATAAGAGCTCCGCCCCATTCTCTGCATTTACCTATAGTTTTTGATTGATATTGAGGCACTATGTTTATAGCACATTTTTAGAAGCGGAACAGCGTTTACGAGTAATATTACGCATCGCGTTTTGAATGCAGAATACACAGCATTAGTATCGCGTTAATATCGTGTCGTCAACTGTGTTAAAAACGCTCTTTCTTTGTGCGCACGATTAGAACAAGAGAAACGTAGAATCCATGTTTCCAGGTAATGACGTAGTAGTCCATGTTTAACTTCAGCTGTCAGCGATTGACTGACCGAAGCGCCTACTGGTGGTATGACAATAGTACGGGTAGAGGCAATGGTTGTGAGGCGAGTGGTTGTCACCACACGTGTCGGGGCGTGGACGGTATTTAGTAAGGGAGGTATGTGTGATGCGCTGAGCTGGGAGTGGGCCAGCTGTCACTAAACTGCGCAAAGTCAGGTCATCTCATTTTAATCCTGCCCGTATGCCAGCACGTGTGGATGAAACCATAGGCTTATATAATCAATCAATCAATCAATACCAAAAATGCGGGTTATATCGATGTGGAGTGAAACGAGAGGGAGAGCTATGACGACAAATGTATGATCGTTGTAATTTTAGATAGCAGCAGCAAAGTCAGGCGAGCATCACAAACCTCGTACGAATTCTGAATAAAATAGATCTACCAAACATTGATTCTGTGTAGTGAACTATTTTCCATCCGTAATTATCCAACTAGAGTGCAATGATTCATCTATGGAGAATATTCACATATATATATATTGCGATGGCTATACAGTGAACCCAGTAACGGGGCTGTCGTAGTGAAGCATTGCATGAGAAATTACATGCGACACATTCATCTGTAAATGGATTTATACCGACAGCAGAAATAAATTGGAAATGCAAGCAACGAAAGCAATAAGCAGTGGAAATCTATGCGCACATTGCGTCATGAATTTGTCCATTCACTGTTCTCTGCTACTCTGGTGGTAATACAGCAAACTTGAGCCGCTGTAAGCACTGATAGTATACTGTATCCGTATATATGCAAGGCTAAAACAGGTCTACAGGAATGTTTCGCGACAGTTATAACTGCAGTTGATAAACGCCGCGGTTTCTGGATGAATGAACGAATGTTCTTGCCGATTACAGTCAGCTCTTTGACTGATATTTTTCACAAATTCATAGATTTTTATAATCAACAATTAAATAGCTTGCGTTTCCTAATCTTCTACGTGGGCTGTTGTCGCCTCCTGCTGCAGATATCACGGCACTGGCCCGGAAACTCTGGTTACCTCAGCGAAATGCTAAACAAGTGTTGTTTTACAGATCACTCACAAAGAAAATTTCTTTACCATGCCCAAAAAATTCAAAATTAAAGCTCAGACACACGCAATAGTAACGCTTCCATGTACAACGCGGCAATGTGTTACTCGCGAACACACCATTCGATAAATTCTCAGGTCTGGAAATCTATCTAGAAACTCTGTGAACCTAACGAACCCGATGTCCATCGAGAGGAATCTGCGATAACATGCAAAAGTAAAATATGAACTTGATTCTCTAGACTTCTAGAGACCGTTGCTTATCATGTTGCAAACTGGTCGCACCCCGTGCTGCCCAGGCACGCACAGTCGAATGTTTCGACGAGCCTTACACGCCATCGTTGAAATGCAAGCGAGACAACCTTGACAACAGATCATCTCCTAACAACTAAAACTATATAGATAGTTATATATATATATATATACATATATATATATAATTATATATGTCTGTGT